GGGACAATTCATTATTAAAAAAACGAGATCTAATTCCTGATTTGTTTCTAATTAGTTTAATTTGATCAAAAAATCAAGATGTTGGTTTATTAATTAAAACTAATAGTGAAAGCATTTTGTATTAAAGTATAGTTATAAAAAGTACTGCTATTAATCTATCGAATGGGCCATTTTTCATACAAATCAATGCAGTGGTTGTTCTGCAATGATTGATTTAATTTTTCTGGTTTTTTTTGAAACACACTGTATATATATAAATAAACTATTATTAAAAGTATACTTTTATTATTATTTCAAAGATGACAGAGAAAAACAAGGCTGAATATTACAAATAATATAAAAAGATAGTGTATATATAAAATAATAGGTATAATCTATGTGCATATTTAATACTATTAAAGATTGGTCATTAAATTTACATGTAGGAAAGAATATTATTATTATTATGTATTTTAAATACAACCTTATAAGGAATTTATGTAAAAGAATGTTACTGAAAAAAACATATGCGTAGCATTTATAATTTTGCATTCTGCTTCATAATAAAGAATTCACATCAATGTTGGATGTTTAACCATCCTAAACCATTAATTAAACATATCATTTTCAATGAAAGTTTTAAAAGGATAAATTATTTTATTTCTTTCTCCAACAATGTTGTGATTCAAAAATAATATTTTTTTATTAATATTAATAAAGAAAACCAAATTCCTGAGATTAGAAACAAAGTTTATATTGTTTTTTAAAGTTGTGTACATATATAAAGCTTGTAATAATATGTGTAATATTGAAAATACAAAGAAAAAATATTTTTTACAACTGATGGTATTTTTTGAAGCTTTAGGAAAGATATATTGAAAAAAATTATATCAAAAGAAAGCTGAAAATTTTAACTAAGATTAATTTGTGAATTTTTGGTGTACAATATGTACATGTTTCACGCTTTATTTATTTTTACTATGTATATATATAACTACAGTCTAACCTCGCCACAGCGGATTTCGTCACAGCGGATTTCTTGTCACAACGGATTTAAGTATTGGCCCCTTTTTTTATTAATTAAAAAATATTTGTCACAACGGATTTTATTAATAAACTTGCGTCACAGTGTTAACGGATTTTTGATGGTG